AACGGAAAATAGCGAAGTCGCGTTATTACTCGGCCTTGCCTTGGGTAACCTTAGCAGCCTGGATAGCGGACATCTTCTGGGTCCATCCTTGAGTGGGCTGAGGCTTCTTGACAGTGCGCAGGTCGTCAGTGGAGAATCCAGAGATACGCATATTGTACTTGCGCTCCAAGACCAGCTGAATATCGCGGATCTCGAGAGTCGAGGACGGGCGCAGTTTGGCAAGACGGCAGGCATCAGTGATCACATCGTCAACAAAGTCATCTGCCATTTGAAGGATGAACTGCACACAAGGGTAATTAGACTTTTATTGATTCTGAGAAGAATTATGGGAAATAACGCGACTTACCTCTTCAGCATCAGGAGTGAGTCCTTCACCTTCACCACCACCAGTGACCTGACGAACAAGAATATCCAGCATCTTCTTGCTCAGAACGCGCTGACCTTCACCCTCGAGCACGTAGCCAGGGTGTTTCTGGATTGCAGGCTGATTCATGACACCAACTGCGCCGTGACTGGGTCCACCAGACAACGTGGGTCGAGCGGGAGCCATGTTGACGGGCTCTGGAGGAGGCACGTTCAAGTTCTTCGGGATGGCCATATTGATGCTACGCGCGTTAGTATCAGCGGAGCGGTTGGGGATGTAGCCCTGGGGGTGAGCGTGAGTGTTGGCCCCAGGCTGGGTAACGTTCTGCTGCTGGTTCATGTTGTTATTGTTGTTAACGTTGTTGTTAGAGTAGTTCTGCGCAGCTTGAGCCATGGCAGCTTGCTGAGACAAAGGACGAGGTTGGACCATGGTCTGAGCCCCAGGAGGAGTTGGAGTTGAACCGTCCACGTTGGGGACTTGAGTGAAGGTGACCTGTGAACCGGGTGGGCCCTGCTGTGACTGTGCCTGGACCTGGACCTGGGCCTGCGGCTGTTGCTGAGGTGCTTGCTGTGGCGGCTGCTGCTGCTGCTGGGGCACAGCAGAGACGGCAGGCGTGGCGCCCTGTGTGGTTGGCGTCTGACCAGGCTGTGAAGTCGAAGGCGACATCGCAGTCTGTCCCGCCTGGTTGCGTGCAGCGGAAACTGCCGAAGTTATGGTGTGAGGAGCCGGAGTAGGGGTCTGGCCTGGATGCATGGTGCCGGGGACACTTGGTGGACGGCCGTCGGCGGGGCCAGCAGCTGTACCGGGCGCAGCTTGACTAGGAGCTTGTTGAGGATGCGCTTGAGCAGGAACATGTTGTTGGACACCAGCTCGCTGTTGCTGGGCCTTGAAGGTATCCTGCTGTTCCTTGAATTTGTTCAGGAAGTCGCTTCCCTCGCGGTAAAGCTTCTCCGCCGCAAGTTGCCGGTTCTTGAACTCCTGCACCTCCTCCTGGGTCATATTTCCCGCAGACTGACGCGTCGCAAACTGTTGTCTGAGATCCGCGATCCGCGCCCGTCCGATCTCCTGCTTCTGAAGCGCGATGCCATATCGTAGTTTGGCCTCGGGGAGCCAGGTCTGGGCCTGCTCGTTGCTGATGTTCGGAGGAAGGAAGAACTGCAGCGTGTTGACCTTCTGTTGGATCTGCGGGAGAAGCTGCGCGAAATTCTGCGGATTGACGGACTGCGACCGCTGGACGGGTTGACCTGGTTGCGCAGCGTTTGCCGCTTGCAATTGCTGGTGCTGCATTTGGCGGCTCTGCTGGAACGCGCGCATGCCTTTCATGAGATTTTGAGAGATCTGGGTCAGTCTCGCATGAGCCTGTTGATACTCTGTAGTCTGCGGTTCCCGACTATTGAGATGCTCCCATAAGGTCCGCACGAGCTGGGTGTGCTGGGCTTTCTGCTGGTCGTTGAGATGGGGGAGCTTCTGGACTTGGTCGGTTCGGATCAGGTTTGAGTGCTGCGGCATCATCGGCTGGGCTGCAGGAGCCTGGGGTTGAGCACCCTGGGGCTGTGCTTGTGAGTTGTCCATCCTGACAATGATGGTGATTGGGCTGCGTTGTGGGGGGAAAGTGAAGACAGCGATGGGGGGAAGAGGTTGGATAACACTGTTGGGGATAGCGGAGAACGGGTTTCTCAGGCACGTGTCCCGAGCGCCCCGACAGGCGTTAAAGAAGGTAAAAGGAAATCGGAACGAAACGAGATTAGATGAGACTAGGCCTAGGAGCAAAGGCTTTGACAAATCGCAGCTATATCTCGTCTGAGAGGAATGGAGGAGCGGAGCGGAGGGTTGATCGGGGGGAAAGAAGTGAGAGATTCGGAGATGGCAATTGGGGGTCGGCGAGCCTGAGGCTTGGCACAAGTGCTCACTGCCGATTCTCAATAACGAGCAAATGAAGTGAGGAGAGCCAGTAACACTCAAGTCCCTTTATAACACTTGCTCAACAATAGGTTCGGTGGAATTGAACAACGTTTGTCTTACGGATCACTTCGGCTTTTTTGGACACTCTCATACAGTGACGTATTGAATGAGAAACGTCTGAAGCAGCACTTATCTAATGGCTCGGTCTCCTCTCCCGGATGGTGTGAAGCTCTGACGGTGCGATGAGGAGACGCTTTTATATACGCTGTTGCGTAACTAAAGTAAGGCTAATTGAGTAAGGCTAATTGAGTAAGGCTAATTGAGTAAGGCTAATTGAGTAAGGGGCAGAGTGAATAGAGCTCCAGGGGGAAATGCCGATTCTACAGGAGATGAAGCCAGGGCTAGGCGATGGTTACAACAGCTCACTTGAATAATGATTTTTCTTGATTCAATGAAGTAGCACAAAACCGAATACCTCCTATTATGATAAACCCCCTAGGTGATATGGTAATTCTCCTTGGAGGACTCCGAGATACTCAATCGGTGCGTATTGGTCATGCCTATACACAAACTGGTCGACATCTTTGATGTTGCAATGTACCAATCCATTGCTCAAGTTAGCCGCGTTATGCCTGTATGAGACGCATTGAAATGAGATGCACCCAAAGGGCTAGCAAGAAGTAGCTAATCTTGACAGCTCAGATCGCGGTACGTTCTCGGTAAAAGTTAATGATGATATAAGCGCAAGCATGCAGTCTTGATGAGTCTCCGTGGCCGGACTTGGCCGGACCAGAAGCTGCAGAACATCTAGCGATATTGGCAAAAAGCCAAGTTGGGGAGAAGCCGCACAGCATCTATCGAAGCTGAGATGGTTTGTCGGGCTAGACATGGTTTTCAGGGAGACTTCCTGTCGTACCAATGATAGCCATCTGGATCAGTCATAGTGGTACCTACTGGTGTCCACTGTATCTGCATGGAAACGGCCTGCCTCCTGAAAATCAAGGCGACGTTGTGAGCGCCTGACATCACGGTCTCGCTGAAAAATGGCGAATAGAATAGAACTTCCTGAGCTCTCAGCCCAACAGCCCACCGAGGTCTCGTTCCATGCCATGAACACGGGCTTCCAAGGTGCGTTTCTTTCTCTCCAGCTCGCGGATCTCCGCCATTTCTCGCTCAAGGTCAGCATCCGTGACATCAGCCACCTCGGGTGGTGTAGAATCGACGCCATCATATTCATCAAAGTCATCTCCATAGGAGTGGCTCATCTTTTCCAACTCTGCGGTGTTTCTGGCCACACGTGCCTCCAATTCGTTGATGGAACCCGAAATCAGCTCGTGACGATAACGTAGACTGGCAATTTTCTCATGTGCACCAGCGACAGGACTTTGCAGGTAGTCAGTAATCGTAAGCATGACATGGCACTTGAGGAGCAAGGATGAGCGTACTAGACATTGCAGAGAATCTCTGCGCCCTGGAGTAGAACGTCGACATTGACTTCACCACGACCCCTACTGGACGTGCCAGCGGATCGCTTGATCTCCTCCATCATATCAGCTCCCAGGACCCTTGCGACAGCTGATTGACTCTTGTTATCTCTAGCGGAATAAATCCGACTTGCCATGGACTCGCCCTCCAAATCCTGCGCAAACTGCGTGCCACGTCGAGTGGGACGTCGCTGGGAGCCGACGGATTTGACGGAGGGATCAGATTGGAAGAGGGCCCGTTCATGAGCCTCCGTATCTCGAATCAAGGAGGTGATATCGTGGGGGCCTAGCAGCGCGTTGGTGAAGATCCGCGGTTGGGGAAACCTGGGGCAAAAGCAATCAATGCCGGGTACGAAGCAAGGTGAGAGGGGGATGCATACGGTAGCTCCGCAATGGCATTAGAAGACAATGCGATCTGCTCTAGATGACTTTCAAGAAGCGACATGTTTCTTTTCAATTATTTGTGTCGAGGGGTGTGGGAATGGGAGATCTTGTGCTTCAGTGAGTGAGTTTGTTATCGCTGCGGGGGGGATAGAAACAACAATCAATGACTAGACTAGCAAGCAACTAGTTAGTAAATACATTGGACTGGTCAAAGCAACACGGGTAAACACGCCAAGCAGAGCTTCCCAGCTGTTTCTGCCTCAGGCGGTCTGAAACTGGCCGGGAATGAGGATTTGGTGGCAACGCAACCCCGAACAACCAACTAACTAACTGCCTGCGACCGAAATTCTCCAGCAATTCGGACCTTCTTCTTCTCTACCAAGCAATCGGATTGAACCCCTTCCCACACGGCCATTGTCTCTTTTCCGAACCACCAACCAATTTCTCTTGCTCCTCTATCCAGACGTGACAGAAACCCGACAGCGCGTCACGCCGGTCTCACAGCTGACCGATTGCTCCGTTGGTAAGCTCGAACCCCCAACTGGCCCGACACTGACTAAGCTCCCTGTGCTGGTTCTCTCGCTGTCCATCCAGAGCCAGCCTTGACATCACATCACCACCTCATCAACCATCTGCTCCCAAACCTCAACCCAATCCCCCATCCTTCATCATCCCCCGCCCCGCATCTTGGTCCTTTTAGCTTCGCTCGCTGTGACTCTTGTCCTTTTCATTCCTGCATCCCCGGACTCTGGATAGTGGTCTTTCATCCAAAAACCCCCTTCCTGTGTCTCCGGTACCGCGGTCCCCAGTGCTCACCTGAGCTTCATAGCTGGAAAAAAGAAACAGACAAGAACCTCCAACGAAAGATGCCGGCTGAAAGGCGCTCTCTGAGATCGAACAGCAAGTCAGATACCTCTTCATCTGCTAACGGTGAGAAGGGACGCTCCACTTCGCAGAGCTCTAGTTCCAACAAAGATAAGCCGGCGCCTACCCGCGCTGCTGCCAACAAGGCCAAAGCTGCCTCTACCACGAAAGGCGCCTCGTCGAATAATACTGCCAACTCCGGAATGGGTGAGCAGCGTGATCAGCCGCGTGCCAACGGGTCCGACCCGACGGAGAATGGCGTGAATGGCTCGGAAGATGTTGAGATGGGAGAGGATACGGCAGGTGGGCCTACATCCTCATTCAACGCCAGTCAAGACCGCAAGGGTGACGAGAAGATGACTGTTGTAGTGCCCCCTACCAAGGGTTCCAGGTTATCCGGCGAGAAAGGAACGGACAAAGAAGGCGACGTCGCCATGGAGGGTGCTGAGGGCGAGGATGCCGAGCCCGAGGTTGATCCTAAGACCAAGGCCATCCAAGGTTGGTTTTATCTGTTCTGGCGTTTATCCGCCCAGCGCCCTATACTAATGCTGCCATGCGTATCATGTAGACATCAAGACCAACTTTACCCTCCTCGAACGAGCCGTTACCCACTTCGACCCCAGATTCACCCTCCGCGTCCTGCGCTCGATATCGTCCATGCGCAAACACATCACGGGTGATGTGCTAGCAGAAGTTATCGAGGAGACTTACTCATCGTCAAGTGTTACCGCTTCATTCTTGTTGAATGCTCTTGACCAAGCAGGTGCCCTGGGCGGTGCTCGGTCCAGCGCGAAGATGGAGATTGAGTCGGAGAAGACCAAGTCTGCTCCCAAGGAGACCCTGCCCGAGGTTGATATTTATATGTCTATCCTCGTCCAGATCTTCTTGTATGACAAGAAGGAGATTCAGCTGGGTGCCAAGTTCTCGACGAACCTGATTGAGCGTCTGCGGACGCTTAACCGCCGTACCCTTGACTCTCTGGCAGCTCGTGTCTACTTCTACTACTCTCTCTTCTATGAGCAGATCGCTCCCCTTCCCCCATCGCCTGCTGCCACCGTGACTAAGATCCGCCAGCCCTTGCTCGCAGCCCTGCGGACGGCAGTGCTTCGCAAGGATGTAGACACCCAAGCTACCGTGATGACGCTACTGCTGCGCAACTACCTATCTACGTCTCACATCTCGCAGGCAGACCTTCTCATTTCGCACAACAAATTCCCCCCCTCGGCGTCCAACAACCAGATCGCCCGGTACCTCTACTACCTGGGTCGCATCCGGGCCATTCAGTTGCAGTACACCGATGCCCATGGGCACTTGATCGGTGCCACTCGCAAGTCGCCTTCCAGTCACAGTGCGCGCGGTTTCTACCAGGCTTCTCATAAACTGCTCGTCGTGGTGGAGCTCCTCATGGGTGACATTCCCGACCGGGCCATTTTCCGACAGCCCGCTCTGGAGCGCGCCATGCACCCCTACTTCCTCCTTGTTCAAGCTGTCAGTGTGGGTGACCTGGATGGGTTCCTCAACATCGTCAACACCCACAGTGCGACGTTCCGCAAGGACGGTACGTACACTCTTATCCTGCGTCTGCGCCAGAACGTTATCAAGACCGGCATTCGCATGATGTCTCTCTCCTACTCTCGCATTTCGCTCCGGGATATTTGCCTGCGTCTCGGACTGGACAGCGAGGAGTCTGCCGAGTACATTGTGGCCAAGGCTATCCGCGACGGTGTGATCGAGGCCAGCTTGGACCACGAGCACGGATTCATGAAGAGCAAGGAAGTGGGAGACATCTATGCGACCAGGGAACCCGGAGAGGTGTTCCATGAGCGCATCAGAGCTTGCTTGAGTCTCCACGACGAAAGCGTCAAGGTGAGTTTCTACGAGAATCTATCTTTTTGCTCTACAGCGAGTTCTCAGCTAACTATTCTGCCAATAGGCCATGCGGTTCCCCATGAACCAACACCGCCTGGAACTAAAGAGTGCGCAGGAGGCACGGGAGCGTGAGCGGGAGTTGGCCAAGGAGATCCAGGAAGGAGACATGGATGACGAGGATGCCGGCGGCGATTTCGATGCAATCTAGTGGGTGTGAAGTTATAAGCATACAGCAGCTTTTCGTTTGTAATCCTGTTATATCCCGTCCCGTTGGGGTCCAGAAACGGAGGGAAGCTTTTCAACAATGTGTTCTTATTTGCAGTGTCGTCGTTCGGGTGTGTATGAAGCAATGGGTAGGACTGAGCTTCGCCGGCGTGATCTCCCATGTCTCTTGTATGTCATTGGACCGGCTCCTTTGTACTGTTGCACAGGTGGTTTCTGCTGTAGATGCTGTTCGGCCTGCCGAGTTTGTCTCTTGCGGGGCGGAGGAGAAGCGTGACCTTGGGTTTCTGTTGTAATTTCCCATAATAATAGATCAGAAAACCTTGCAGCCATGAACATGTGAACTCGATTGAAACAAATGTCTGTGATATTGTGTCTGTGAATTACTGAGTAAATACTGTAGTAGAGTGGTATGGTGGAAGACGGAGGGAAGATACAGGGAGAGAACTGGATGCGGCAGGGACGGGCCCAGAGCCCCGACCCGGCCCGAGGCAACCTCCGTCTCGAAATCTTCGGCGGGTGTTAATTGCGCCTCATCCATCCATCCAGGCACTGGTGCGGCCCCGGACCTGGCCCGGCTTTCAATCATCCTCTTTCCCTGTATTATGATCTTAGCATCTTGTTTGACTCAATTTTAGCTACCTACCTCACATATCCCCCCAAAATGAAAGCACGCACGGTGCCAGCATCCGGGCTGGTACTCTCGTCACGCGTCACGTCCTCCACGATAGTTTGCTGGCAATGCCTCCGGAATGAATTGGTTGCGAACCAATTCCAGCTCCAATCACGAAAATATCATCCCACAAAACGTAACAATGTATCGCCGCTCGGTGCCGCCGTCTCCGCAGCTCAGACCATCTTCAAAGGCCTACCCAAGGCACCTCCGGGCATCTCCGTCGACCCATTGCGGATGGTAGGAAAGGAACTCAAATTCTTGACGAAGAACCTCCGGCAGCTGCTCGGGTCCGGCCATCCTACACTGGACAAGGTGGCCAAATACTACACCCGCAGTGAAGGTAAACACATGCGGCCGCTTCTGGTGCTGCTGATGTCTCAGGCGACGGCGCTGTGTCCCCGGAAGACGGGCACGGACAACAATTCCGCAACAGTGAACGACTCAATCAGCTCGCCCTCAATCCTCGTCGATAAGAATCCGGACTTGGATGCGCTCTCATCCGGTAGTGCAGATGCGCCGTACGACTTTGCCGGCGACAAGGACATCCTGCCCACCCAGCGGCGGCTTGCTGAAATCACCGAATTGATCCACACTGCGTCTCTCCTGCACGACGACGTCATCGATAATGCTGAGTCCCGCCGTTCTTTAACGTCTGCCAACCTTCAATTCGGAAACAAGATGGCCGTTTTGGCGGGAGACTTCATGCTGGGTCGGGCCTCCGTCGCTCTCGCGCGGCTGAGGGACCCAGAGGTCATTGAGCTGATGTCGACTGTCATTACCAACCTCGTTGAGGGCGAATTCATGCAGTTGAAGAACACGGCTGCGGATGAGAAGAACCCCGTTTTCACGGACGACACCCTCTCGTACTACCTGCAGAAGACATACCTGAAGACGGGTAGCTTGATCAGCAAGTCCTGCCGGTCGACTGCCGTGTTGGGTCACAGCGCCCCCGAGGTTGTCGAAGCCTCTTACCAGTATGGACGCAACTTGGGATTGGCGTTCCAGCTTGTGGACGATATGCTGGACTATACCGTGACCGAGGCTGAGTTGGGCAAGCCAGCTGGCGCGGACTTGGAGCTTGGTCTTGCTACGGCCCCGCTGCTCTTTGCCTGGAAGCAGTTCCCAGAGCTTGGCCCGTTGGTTGGCCGGAAGTTCAGCCAGCCCGGCGATGTTCAGAAGGTAATGCGACCCTGATTGTAGCAAACAAGCTTTTTCACTAACATTGATTGATCACTAGGCTCGTGAACTTGTTTTCAAGGCCGACGGTGTCGAACAGACCCGTATCCTGGCTCAAGAGTATGCGGATAAGGCTGTCGCTGCGATCTCCGACTTCCCCGACAGCGACGCCAAGGCTGGATTGGCCCAGATGTGCGAGAAGACCATGAAGCGGAGAAAGTGAGACGTTTGAGCGATGATCCATCAGCGTTGCTTTGGGATTGGCGTTCATCTGAGTCTCCCCTTGTTGAAATTGGGCGCTACACAATGCCCCTGTACCACTACCTTCTCTGTATTATTGCGAGTCTGCTGGTGTAGACCTTCTGTATTATTGATAGAGAGCCTAGACCCAAGGACTATTCATAACACAATTTCATTTTCGGTTGCATTGGTAGTGACATCTCTTGATACTGATATTACAAAATTCGAGCATGAGCTATGATGGGCATCACTCATGTAGATTAGCGAACAACTATCTAGACTCACGTGGATGTACTTGCTCTTCCCTCCAACGCCAGGACCTCCCGGAGAGTTTCTTCGCCCACCCATCTCATGATATATGCCGGCGGACCGAAGTGACCAGTCTCACCGAATGGGATCTGCTTGTCCTCTTTGCTTGGGTTCACTTGGTGTTCATGATGGGGAGATAATATCAATCTCGTTTGGTGGCCTCAAAGTTTTTCCTTGCTGCTGCCAGAACCGACCTCTTATACACGCTCCAAGTGTCTTCACCAGTCGACAAAACTACACAGGTAGAAGGTTCCATCTCAAGACTACCTATTTCAATCTCTTGTGGCAAGCTACGCCGCTTCACGGTTCGTGCTTTAGATTTTATACACCGAACGATTGAACCATGACTAGTACAATGTGGAGAGTATGATGATCTTCACCTAGCATATATGAATGAACAGCAGCTTGGAGTATTGAGTTTGTGACGCTGGCTTAGCATATTACTCTCCGATACTCTCTTTACTCGGGCAATAGTTTGCTTGACTACAGACTGCGTTGTCAGGAAGCTACGGATCACGGCTTTTCAGCTACCATTTTGGATAATTGAACATGAGCAGCAGACTATTTCCTGTTGTATACAGAGTGAACTGCACCGAAAATATTGCATCTGACAAATTACTTAAGAGACTGATCCTAGGGCAAGGGATCAGTCTGCATTGCGGTGAACCCGCCTGAACTACGTACGCAAGACAAATGCTGCGAGAAGTAAACGCTGACGTGTCCAGTATACAACTTCCCCAGAAAGAACAGAAATGACCGATGCATATGCATTTAGAAATGCTGTGAGCTTGAGCATCTCCTCTCGAGTTTTCCCTTTCGTACTGCGAGGACTCACCATGGCGACTATGCGAAAGTTGACTATCTCTCGAAACCCGCACTGCATTAGAGCTACATGAACCACTGTCTTCACCACACAAGATCGACGTCGTGAAAGCCACGTCATTATTGAAATACTGCAGACGGTCTTATCAATTGACAATATGGCGGGACTGAGATTGCTTAGAGCAATAGAATTCAGTCGCACCGCACCAGCTTAACAATAACAAGCCGGGGAAGCTTCTCCGCCGCGTTGGCGCGCTGCCGGAACCCTAAATCTATAGCGTCAATCAATGCAGGCGCAGGCGGCCGGGATCTAGTGACCTGGCCTATGGGTCAAACACCAATTAGAACAGTAAACAGCTACCGAGCTTGCGAACTGAAATAAGACACAATAGGCCATGCCTTGAGCTTGCTTGGAAGCTACCGACCTTCTGTTCTTAGTAGTAACACAGTTCTCTTTGGACAATAAGCCTGCGTTCGCTTCGCCGAAAGCAATTCAGCTGTATAGCTGTCAGATACCTCGCTTTCGTGTATTTGAGCTAACGGGGTCATTTCCCTAGTTCCCCTCGGGACCGTGAAACTGTTCGTCTGAAATCAGGGGCACGTTCTTCAATGGCTGAAAAGGAAGACGCGATAAACACTCATCCCAACGAAACACCGAATTCTCAAAGCCCATCATCTGGAGCTTTAACAGAGTTACCACCATCTGAACAAGACCCTAATCTGGTAAGGTATCCTACAACATCAAGTTGAAGCGCTCTGCTTAATATCCAAGGTGACATGGAATGGTCCCGAGGACCCGGGCCATCCAAGGAATTGGCCGTCGGGCAAGAAATGGGCGACCCTCGTTCCCATGTCGCTGTTCACTTTCTTAACTTCCATGAGCTCGGCTATAATGGCTCCCGCCCTGGATAAGATTCAGCAGGACCTCCACTTTTCGTCCAGTACAATGGGCGTTATATCCCTTTCTGTTTACTTGCTGGGCGTGGCAATCGTTCCCTTGTTTACGGCTCCTTTGTCAGAGATATTTGGAAGGATGATAGTCCTTCAGGCTACTGATATACTCTTCATCGTCTTCAAAACCCTATGTGGAATCTCAAGCACCCCAAACCAGCTGATAGGCCTCCGTTTCTTAGCTGGTCTGGGCGGAGCAGGAGCTAACACGGTACGTATAATTTTAGTCCATCATGCCTCCAATAACAGTCCTAGTACTGACCACCAAAGATGGGCGCTGGCCTCACCACAGATCTATTTGAGCCTAACAAGCGCGGTAGTGCTCTGTCTCTCTATCTCCTCGCCCCTTCGCTCGGCATGACAGTCGGCCCCATCGCTGGCGGTTTTCTCGTCCAAAATACGACGTGGCCATGGTGCTTCTATCTTGTATCCCTCGTGGCTGGCGCGGTGCAAGTTTTTGGCCTGCCCTTCTTTCGCGAGACCTATGCGCCAGTTCTGCTACAAAGAAGATGCAAGCGTCTACGGGAAACAACCCAGAACCTAAATCTGTATACGCACCACGACAGCGTCTCCCTACCCCATCTACTGCGACTTAGCCTCGTTCGACCTACCAAGTTGATTACCACACAACCGGTGGTGCAAGTCTGGAGTTTGTATTGTGCATACATCTACGGCATTCTATACCTACTTATTTCGAGCTTTCCCAATGTGTGGACAGACATATACGGAGAATGCGTATCTATCGGCTCCCTCAACTACATCTCCTTATTTCTGGGTATGGCCTTTGCTTCACAGGTTGGAATGCGTCTCGC